AATAGCTTACAGAAGCAAAATGGAAGGTATCTATTAAGAATATCTGGAAGCGAAACGTGCAGCGAAGAGGGGCGTCAAAGAAGCAAGGAATCATTTACGGAGCTGTAGGAAAACTAAACAGTCATGAAGGTGAAAGAAGAATCTACCGAGTGCAAGAAGACGAACAAATGCAACGAAAAACATCGAGCACTTCTGCAATATTGTTATTTCAGATGGATATAGGCGACTAGCATGTATATAGCGAGCGTGGCCCTGCAAAGATTTGAACACGTAACTTATTGAACCTCCATTCTGAAGCATTAGTTTTTGTACTCTCAAGGTATCAAAAACAGATACCAAATAAACTGACACCTATAACACTCAGACAAAAAAAATCATGCGCGTACGTTGGCAAACGTCGGCAAAACTCCGCCCGCTATACTGTGGGGGATGGACGATATATGTAAACAGAAGCAAAGGAGATAAAACAATGATGGCGAGGGCATTTGCAGAGATGACGTTCCGCCAGCCATGAATGTATCAGGTCGTTTCATAAGTTTTTTCAGTTTTGATTTTTACCGCACTAACAATAAGTACACACTTCTCGATAATAATTAGAATGGAGGGTACCATTCAATATAGCAATGCAAGCTCTACAAGATGCATGTGATTGTTCGCACCTTTTCAGCATATCATGGGTTAGAAGCCAAATTTGAGAGCTTTAGGATGCCTGGAATTAAAAAATTTTATATCTTTGTCCAAAGAAACTTACCGGATCCCAAACTCGCTTACGCATACTCAGACATCGAAAGGATACCTCTGGCGGGCAAATGGCTCGAGTGTGCCACTTCGCGCTCTAGAGCGCTCCGGAGCCCTGCCATTTCACCCATTTTGGTGCTCCGGGGCTCTCCCAAATTTGGCGCACCTCCGGAGCAGAGATTTGCGCGTCCCAAAGAGGGGTCCCATTTGTTCACCGTGACGTTACGGTGACGTCACAAGCAGGTATAGGTACAGATATAGCAGTATACATTCCACATGATACATACATGTACGCCGTTCCTGTGTTTGTTTCTGTGCTAGAAATCGAGAAAACTGATACTCTCAAGCTTCTAAAAAGCGATGCTGCGCTGTTCTCATATAGGTAAATGTACACAACCTTCCAGCAATACATTCACAGATTTTCAACTTTTTGTAAGCTCTAACACCCAAAAAATACTGATTTCAACGAAAAATACCTCGAAAAAAGAGCTAAATTCTGTTTTACGAGAACTAGCGCTCCCAGAGAGCCGAAAATTCACCGATGTACCTCTGAAGGCCTGTAGTACACATTTACCAATGTGAGAACAGCGCAGCATCGCTTTTTTGGAAGCTTGAAAATTTGAGTCATCTCTGTTTCCAACACAGAAACAAATACAGCAACGGCATACATGAATTATTGGAGTGTATATGCGTAAGTGAGTTTAGGGATTGGTATGTTTTCTTCGGACAAAAATATAAAGAAATTTCAATTTTTGGGTATCCGAAAGTCCTCAGTTTTCAGCTTTTAACTCGTCATGTGCTGAGGCTAGTGCGAACACTTACATGCCATTTTGTAGAGCTTGCTTTGGTCTATCGAATGGTACCCTGCATTCTGTTTACTATCAAAAAGTATGTGACCTATTGCGGTAAAAATTTAGAGTTGGAAAATTTATGAGATAACCTACTAGATCCACTGTTACAGATGAACTTGTACATGAACCCGTGCCGATCATCACCGCGGAGGAAGTTCGTATAGCCATAATGAAGACAAGCAGCAAGCATGTCCAAACGGCATCTCCAACGAGTTTTGGAAGGAGTTTGGACAAAGAGGAGTTCCATAGCTTACACGACACCGCCGATATGGAAGCATAAATGTGGCATGGCTGATTACACTGCGTACCGTCCTATTCGACTTGTGAGCCACACACTGAAGATCTTTGAATATCAAAAACAGTCTTTGAAGAATCGCAGAATTGATACCCAATCAGTGCGGATTCATCAAAACATGCTGTAAAGTCCATGCCATCCACAACCCTAGAATAATGGTGGAACGACAGAGTAGAGATAACGTAAGTTAGATGGAGCATAAAATCATAATGCGGGGCAGGCGGCCATGCGATTTATGGGCGGGTGGGCACCGGAAAAATAATTTTGTTAATGATCTTGCGGTCCGCTTGCAGATATTTGGATGAATTTTGGCAAAATTTAGAGAATGCTTGGAGAACAATCGCGGTTCCCTTATAGATTAGCTACGGCGCAGTGTCGCATTCTTGCGGACTCTCCGTGAAAATATGCAAGATTAATGAGGACCGCACGGTCCTTTGTGGAGGACCGCGCAGGGCCCGGCAGCGTTGGTTTGGAGCATTTTTGGAAACGAAGTCCCCATGACTTCGCGAGAATTTACGAAGTCCCGCTTCACGTAAAAATCAGTAGGGGAACCCTAACTCAATTAGAACCATAAAAAAGCGAAAAAAGCGCATTTTGAGGTATCTAATATGACAAAAAAGCAAATGAAAACATTTCGAGTTGATTGAAGGTTCTGCCATTGGGTATGGTACCATTTCAGGGCTCAGAATGTCAAAAACCTTCTAGGTCAACCATTCCGTGGCCTCAACAATCTGGCGATGCATTTTTCACCACATATTTCAAAGGACACTGCATGTGATTGGAGCGCAATATCTATCAACGCATAGATTCACACTACTTTTGGCTCAAAAAAGGAGGAGAGGCAATGGTTTGATTTGCTCTTTTCAATATATGATAGATTTTTGACCGTTCTAATCGTTTAAATTAAAAAGGGCCAAAACTTATGTGAACCTCCGATATTTATGCTCCGAACAAACCCCGTTGGTTTGGTGTTGGTCTAGAAACCAACGAATCCAGAACGGATATTCAGACACATAAGTTTTGGGAACTTTTTACATAACATAGTTTGGAGTAATATTGTATACTCATAGCCCAAATTCGGAGCCATATGATTGTTTGTGCGCTGGAAACAAGTCATTTGTTTGTTTGAGTCTTGCGTTTGAAATTCGCGCGCTACGAAAGAACACGTTCAACTCGTGAAACCTAACATGTTCGTCGTATTTTTCGGCGCTTCCTTCAGAATCTTATAAAAACGATATCCCCTTTACTTCTAACTTCAAAAACGAAGTACAGTTTGACCTCAAACCATCTGTGCCGGGTCCTGGGACCGCGCAATCCCTAGGTACTTTCCGCTGGAAGGATTATTTCACGAGTATCCCAAACTCGGGTAATTAAACCACCGGTGACACATCTGCCACATAGAGTCTTACCTGTGTTCGGCGTAAGCCCGAAACTGCGTAAAAAGAGTCCGAGCGCCTGCTGAAGGTTCGACCAGCGCTTGCTGAAACAGATTATTTCACGAGCGCCTGCAGAAAATTCTGTGTTGCTGCCCGCTGGCAGAACATTAGACAGTAAAGGAAGTACCGCTCGCTGAAGTTTCAGCCACGTCCCAAAATTCTGCTGACCGCTTGCAGGCGGAAAAGCGCGATTTTGCGGACCGCCTGCCCCCGGCGATTATCTGAATGGTGCTGGAAGAATACGTGGTGGATGAAGATGATTCTAGGAATGCAAGTACGAGACAGTAGTAGGAGGATCAGAAGACTTCCGAATAAATTTGTGTTCATCAAGGTTCCGTGCTATCGCCCCTCCTCTTCACAAGTCATGAATGCAATAGTCAAAGATTCCGTACGTCCACTGTCATGGACAAGCATATATGCCGATGATGTGGTTCTAATGACAAAAGAGAAAAGCTCGAAGTCGATGTACAAAAATAAGTGAGTCAAAAAAGCATGGCTTGAAGCTGGATACAAAGAAGCCCGAATACATGGAAATTGCAAACAGCAAACATCTGGAACCATTCAAATTAGAAGCACAAAAACTGGGAAAACATCTTCTTCAAGTATCAAGGAAGCCAAATCCTTGCAAATGAAAGCTTTCAAGACGAAATGAGCAGCAGAATGAATGCAGCTTGGCTAAAGTGGAGAAGTCTCACTGTGGTGCTAAGCGATAAAAAAAGGTTCTCACAACTTGATGTCTCAGCCACGGTACCGTTATCGGACCAACTGCACTCTACGGTAGTGAATGCTGGCCGTGCACATGCGGCGAAGAACGCCAGCTCGGGGTAATGAAAACAAGAATGTTGAGATGGACTGCAGAAGTCACTATGCTAGACCACGTCTTAGACGATACCATACGATATATGATGAAGATCGCCCAATTACGAGAAAGATACAAGAGAAGCGTCTCGGACGGTATGGAATGGTGAGCAGAAGAGAAATCACATTACAGATTTGGCACTGTCAGTAGATGTCCCAGGAAGAAGGCTAAGAGGAAGAGCTGAGCTAAAATGGGTGGATAGTAACAATACGCCCTAGTGGAACTTATTAACCAAACACCAAGCATAGATAAAAATTATGGGGAAGACTTACAAAGTAGCGGAGCCCAAAATGTGAAATTTGCAAAGAATGATGATTACCCTATTACTCAAAGGATGATTACCCTAAAGAAAAATGATTACCCTATTTTCAGGTTTATAAGCCGCAGGGAATTTTTTTCTATAACCGATCAGCCCAACAGGCCAGAAAACTTCGCGACCGCAGGACCCTAGCCTGCTACCTATTGCCTTAAAGAATAGTGCGGCATAATAATCGCTTTCCGAAACATAGTGAAGCGGCTGAGCGGCTCGCTTGAAAGTATGAAGAAGTGCGGCTTATACACCTGAAAATAGGGTCCCAACTTCAGCATCTTATTTATACGATACAGATCAAGGGGGGATAGACAAAGACAGACTAATCACATGTGCGCAATTCTGAATGCCGAACCCAAAGACAAGGCGTAGCTAAGGGCAAAAACAAATCTCAGGCCATTTCCAAGCTTGGAGCGGAGCAAAACCCCATTTGTTCGCTGGGATTGTATTTCTTTTTCAACCTCATGAACTGATGACTGATCAGAGCTGGCTTGAAGGAAGACAAGTAGCTCTCGCAAATCCACATCTTTATTTCTTCACAACGGCTAAGAAACACCATAAACTTCGACCTCAGAGACAAGCGTTTAGCCGGAAAGGTATAACACCGCGAAGAACATTCACAGTAAACACCAAAGATCAGTTTTTGAATTACAGCCTCAACACATTACAAACACAATCAAGTTATTTGTAAAGTATATTACATTTGCTAGATGCGATACTGTCAGATTCAATCTTGCTATCGTTTCTTGCGACATCTCACATAAGCAGTAAAAGCATACAAATTAAAATTGTCTTTGATGGTATCTATCCACGTCGTAATAGGATGTCACAACAGTTCGATTAGCAAACTTTCGACCAGTAAGTGCTGCCTGGGCCTTCTGGCAATCTGCACATGTTGCGAACTCGACAAAAACCTGTATAGAATAGATAGGATAGAATAAATTCGATTATTTTGAAAAGACAATCGTACCTTCCCAATTCCTGATACTTCCACTCCCGCTATAGGTCTAGGAACTTCTAGTGACCGTACAATACCGTACTTCGAGCATTCTTCCCGGATATCTTCCAAAATATCTGCAAACAATTTGGTTACTGAAAGTACTAATGCCAGAAATCCATAAGGGCTGCCTACCTTCGTATTCCTCATCATCCTTCAGCTCTTCTTCTACTACCATGTTCATCAAACAGAGCACTTCGGTTGGCATGCCAGCTCCTTGCGAAAGATCAATACCTGAGAAGAAGGTTGTGTATCAAGTAACCCAAAACACCAACCTAACAACTACGGGGAACGTAGAACTAACCAGCAATAGAAGTGGCACTATGTGGCATAGGTTGTGCGTTACGAGCATTGGCACAAGCCAATTGCACGACGAGCTGCTTGTCTCCAAGCTGCATTCCGTTTAAGCCAGCAATAGCCTAAATATTTTTTGATTAATACAAAACTACAAACGAAATCATTATGCTAACTTACCTGATCAGTAAGAGTGGTGTCCAGATATTCAGCAAAGGCAAATCCCTTCGAGACTCCATTGGAGTCAAGAACAAGATTGAAAGCCTTTAGCTGACCAAATGAGCACAGCAGTTCCTTGACCTGAAAAGAAACGATCGAACACTGACATAATGATTTGCGAAATCCTCATACGCTTGAATACAAAAAAGCGCTTCCGTTCTACGCACGCTTACAAAAAAATGATGTTGCTTTGCAATTTTCAGCTTCAAATTTCTCACGAAAGCTTCGAACAAGGATGAAAACCGAAAAACCTGCCTACATATAACACATACCACCATGCCCCATCATACACCGTTTGCGCTGCGCTAAAAAGCCTAAAAGACAGAGAACGAGGCTGAAATCAGGTCTGAAGGCAGTGTGTTGCTTTCGGCGGGTATTGCTAAAATTGCTGAAAAGAGCTGCAGACGCTCTGCAAAAGCGAATCCAGTATATAGATCTTTCTGTTGCTGTTTCGAATTCATCCGATGTAGTGAATGTACAGGTAGCAGTACGAGGGCCACAGCGTCGAGCGCTGAAACACGCTCAACACATTAGTAGCCATCCCAAAAATCAAAATCTACCAAAAATAACTTCTCATACAAGATTTTCTGCCCAAGCGCGCAAAATTTCAAGAAGTCAAAGAAACGCAGCAGTCCTTGGACGGAAACTCATCTATTGCAAAACAAAAAGACAAGAAGCCGTACCTGCTCCTCATTAAGATAATTCGGTAGACCGCCAATGAAGATTTTGTTGGGGGAATCGACGACAATGTTAGACACTGAAAAAGCGTCCTATGATTGCGCAAAACAGATACTTCCAAAACAGCGCAACTTACCAGGCATTCTGGAAGCCATATCGAAGCTTGCGCTGATTGGCTGATAATCACGAGGACGACGAATCTTGAGCTGCTGACCCATGAAATTGATGCCTATAAAAGGAAAATAATCTTTATATTATTTGGTACACATGGTATAACTGACCATCAAACGCCATGCCCGCAGTTGTTTCATCAATGGATCGAAATTCGATGAAAGCAAAGTTCTTGTCTAGGTTGATTTGGCAAGCAAGCACAGGATTCCCAGGAGCTTGCGCAAGACCGCAAAGATGCATCTGAAAGGAGTGTTATTCTTATGAAAAAAAAAACACGAAACGGCATGAAAGAAAACTCACCTGCTGGTTGAAGAAATCAAGCATGGCCTCTTCGTTGCATCCGAAAGGAATGTTGCCCACATAGAGACGGCGAGACTGGCATGTGACCGACGGACCTACCACTGGCACAGCAGCTTGCATGTTCGATCGTGGAATTGCTCCTGCGGCTGAGATAGATAAAGTCATCCATAGAACAAAATGAATGCAAAAGGGACTAGAAACATACCTTGCTGAGCCTTGTACTCTTTAGGTGTGAGATGCTCGAAGCCAACCGGAGGTATGTCCCAAAACTTGTACTTCTTCTTCGGCTCTTGATGCGACGAATGATCTCGGTGATGATGATGACTGTCCTTATCGCGCCTCAAATGCAATTTCAGAAACTCTCTATCTAATGACGTTATAAGTAAAATTACTTACGATCGACGACGATCACGATCTCTGCTACGACTGCGACTACGACTTTTCCTGTGCTTCTTCCTGTCGCGGTCTCGGTCGCGATCGCGATCCCTATCCCTATCTCGATGTCTGTCACGATCTTCACGGTCTTTGTCAATGCTTCTGCGATCCTTGTCACGATCATCACGATCCTTGTCACTATCTCTGCGATCTTTGTCACCATCTTTGCGGTCTCTATCCCGATCATCTCTATCCTTGTCACTATTTCTACGATCCTTGTCACGATCTACCCGATCGTCCTTATCATCTTTATTTTCCTTCTCCTTCATTTGCATTTCACCATTGGGTTTTTCTTGGGAATCCTCACAGTTCTGGAATAAGGTAATTGCACAAAATTCGCCCTCGGAACAAAAACAATGAGCACACATTTTTCTTTTAGAGGCTTTGAAATGTAGTCTTTATACAAACAAACACGATAAGGCAAAACAAAAACACGAACCTGATTTTCGACTTCCATATCGAAAGAGTTGTTGTCATCGTAATGCGGTCTTTGTTCGGTGGCCACCCCATTGTCGCTTTGGTCCATATCTGAAGCCCGCATGATACTCTTGTATAGTGAGTAACGAAAATTAGCTTATACAAGCAATCTCAAAAGATAATACTGCGAGATACGCAGGGATCATACCGAAAAGATTCTAGATGAAACTTTATTTACATTCGGAAAGCATAGGTGTTTTATATAAGTAATCCTGAGAACTTGGCTAAAATGGTGAAACCCAGCAATATGAGTAGCATTAACATCACTGAATAAAGAAAAAGCCAAGATGTGTGAGATATCGAAAGGACTTACAAGCAGATGACTGTTTTGACAAACATCGTAAAAACGTATAACTAGGCACGAAACTCTCTGGAGAAAACCGGGAATAAGGATATTTACATTTCTTTTTCTTATGCACAGGGATTCAACTGGTGCACTATGACTGCTTTCATTTCAAAAAATGCTGGCACGGGTCAAGTGAAAAAAAGGAGTAGTGTAACCTAGCGCAGCATAAGAATGTGGTAGTGTGATATATACAAGATCTGCCAAATTTCAACAAAGGAAAGAAAATTAGCATCCACAGTAAGAATCACTGGCGTTTGCTGTGTCCTGACCAAGACGAAATGCTGGGCGGTCACTCACCCAGAGTCCTGGTGTTTGGATGATCTAAAAAGCATTATTATGGAGATCGCCAACAAGCACCTACACCCATTTGCACAAAAGCCCACCTTCTCTATGAGCTCCTCAAACGCACATTGTACACCTTCTTTTGTCTTCGCACTTGCCTCGATGAAAAGAGCGCGATGACGCTTTGCGAACTTGAGACCCTCTTCACGAGATACTTCACGACTCGGCTGGAATGAATATTCCGGGATAGGATTACACGTAATTGCGTTCTCTTTCAATTCGGTCTACTGAAGCAACCACTTGCACTAACGGCAGCAGTTTGCACTCGGATTATAACAAAATTTCGATTGAGCACCCCGTAAATCTTCTTTATACGCACGCAAGAAATCTAGTGGATGTTTCGAAACCTTGTTAGCATAGAAAAAAACGAGTCTATCTTAACTCACCATATCGATCTTATTTCCTACTATCATTTTGACCGCGTCTCCTTTGGTTATATAGGTCTCCACTTCAGTCATCCAGTGGTCGAGATTTTCAAAGGATCCTCGATTTGTCACATCATAAACTATAATATAAAGTATGATTGAGACTATACAGGGTGTCCCAAAAGTATGTATGCACTGTTTGATCGTTAATATCTCTCTTCACAAGAAGTCTTTTGCCTTATATCAGGTACCGTTTTGTAGAGCTGGCTTCAACTTAGATTCACAGTAAAGAATGAATCACTCATCTCTCTTCATTACTGTAGGATTACGGTAGAAATTTCAAAGCGGGTTTGAGCCATGAAAGGCCATATTTCGCCTCAGAAAGGGAACAAAACAGCCTGAAAACTTTTACACCAGGCTAACTGGAGTTGTTGATTCTAACTGTAAAGTTCCCAACTTTTTATGATGCTTCATTGAAGAGTTATGCCGGGTAAGAGGTAGCGGCTTTTTTTTCAATGTTCCTAAAAAGTGCGGTTACACCGTTTAGAAAGTTCCGCAATCTTGTGAATAGTTGAGTATTGAACTCAGCGTCCATAAAAACCCTAATATACAAGTTTTCACATTTTTTTTTAAATTTCGAAACGGCAGCTTTTTCCACATTGACGCCATATGTTTCAAGTTTCTACCGTAATCCTACAGTAATGAAGGGAGATGAGTGATTCGTTCTATACTGCAAATCTAAGTTGAAGCCAGCTCTACAAAATGGTACCTGAAGCAAGGCAAAAGACTTCTTGTGAAGAGAGATATTAACTATCAAACAGTGCATACATACTTTTGGGACACCGTGTATAAGAATGATACTTTAAGCCACACCTACCACATATCACTCCCTGTGCACCGCGATAGTAACTGGGAGTGAGAGTTCGGAATCGTTCCTGTCCGGCGGTGTCCCATATAGCCAATTTTACGCGATTACCGTCGATATTCATTGATGTTACTCGAAAATCCACACCTGAAAACGCTTTGGAATGGTAACTTTGACATTCACGATTCTCTTGATTATATTTGGTACGGGTAGCTGCCAGACCTAACTCTTCAACATTGAATTAAAAGAAATACAAAGCCTTTGATCCAAAAAACACCAAACGCGATCATGAACAGCCTATCAGATTTTCTTCCCAAAACCTCAAAATAAGTCTGTAGATCTTCAAATTTTCGAAAAACATTTTTTGATGTTCTGTTCAACTAACAGAAGCTTTATTACCAAAAATTGACTAAGCTCACATTTTATACCATGATTTCTCTATAGAAAGCTTGACTTCACTAGATTACTAACAGGAAGACAAGTAGCAGTCAATAAAAATGGTAGCACAAGCGAAGCGTTGTGTGTATAGCTGTGTTCGGACCCTACAGCAAATATTAGAGTTCAAGAAAACAGGAAAGAGAGCAGTTTTTAATAACTTCTCATAAAAAGTTTTTATACAACAAAGCGTACCTAACGAGAATTGATCCCACTTGTCTACTAAATCAATGAAAGGTACAAAATGCCTATTTGCTTTTTGTTCACATTGTTAATTTTTTTATGTAATAACTGCAAATACTATCTTTCTTATGCTATCATTATCTACACTGGTCTCTGTGACCCATCCATCTATCCTATAAGTGAGCAAACACCACTGCCGAGTGAGATCGATGGTCTGCAGCCATGGGAAAAGGTCTAGTCTCATAGAACAAAAACTATACAAATTACAAAGGGGTTGTAAACTCGATCATAAAATGAACAAAACAAAGAATAAGATGATGAAATATATACAAACCTATCGTCGCAGGCAATTCAGGATCAAAAGTATCATCCACAAAACGCAACATCAGACTAAAAGGGCACAGTATTGTGAAAGCAATAGGATTATGGGAACATAAATGACTCTGCAAACTTACCTTGATTTTCCAACACCACTTTCACCGATGATCAAGATTTTGAGTGTTGTGATAGTAGGAGCAGAATTATCTTCAGGTTCGCTTGCAAACGACATCTGTAAAAAGTAGCAGATTCACTTTTTGACTTAGCCAAATACGCACGAAGCATTGTGATAAGAAAACTGTGAGTAAAGAAGACAGGAGTAGTACCTCTGCGAACCCAAGTAAAAGAAGCACGAGAACAACAACATTTCGAAGTGGAATCACGCGAAGCGGGCGCCGTCGATGACGTCATTGCCTGACCGTAAGCTCGTCTTTCTGGGACCCGCAAAGATGAAGCGCGCTAAAGCTGAACACTTGAAATTTTGATTATTTTTCTCCGCCACTTTCTTTTCGCAAGGCTTGGCTCACTGGATGGTGCTTGAAGGGCCAAAAGTGGTTCAGATGAGTGTTAGAAATAGTCCGTTTGTACAATGTAGAGTGTGGGCATTCATAGCTGCTGGATCTTGAGCGCATAATTATGGCTTTTTATACTGCGCAATGTTTTGCTAGTGTCCAAATGTTACTTGAGACTTTCGGCCATTGAAATCCGAAGTCAATGCCGTAAATTTACGCTTCAGGCATGTAATTATGCATGAGATCGAAGAGGATAAGCAGAACTCTTCATCTTATAGGATAAAACGTGGCTCGCTCTCAATTTTTTTTTGTTGACATGTGTTCCTCAAAATCTGAGAAGTGCGGTCAGTATCACAACTGCGAATGAACCTTACGCATTGCCTGCTGATGTGGAACTGCACACTTAATAAATTTTTCCTTGTTCTGTTCTAAGGCAGCTGCGAAACGAATCTATGTTATTAGCAAAAACACGCGCAACTGTGTCGATATAACTGTCATTTGGCTTCCGTTCTTTGCTTTTTTATAAAGTGAAATCACTTCGTTCTGTGTTACTCCTTTGCAGCAGGGAGTAAAATTAAAAGAAGGAGACGTGTGTGTCACCATCATGATGCTTTAGGATGAATTCTTTTTCCTATTCATTACAAGAGGCACCATCTACAATTACTCAATCGTTGCCAGACGAATTCGAGCGGATCATCATGGAGCTCAAGGTGTGACTGTATTTTTTTTTTGTATCTGTGCGCCTTTAGTAACATCTTATACTGTAGTTGCTTCATGTACTATGTTTGCCAAAATCTGTATCTTTCTGATGCAGGGCTACTCTATGGATGTCTTTGGGAGAAAATATGAGAATAGAGCCAACACGTTCACTACAGTGTATGTCCGTTTTCTCGAATACATCAGTTGATAATAATTTTGATTGATATCCTGAATTTCAGCCGCGTTGAAACCAAAAAGGTCTGCTGCCGAGCTCAAGACTTGTTGATGAAGTTCAAAGGTAAGGTTTGTTTTATGCTCTGCATAAAGTAATTTGTGACTGCCATGTGGGACTACTACATCGGCTTCAATCTCTAAGCATATGGCAAAATAGGAACATCCCATGACTACTGTATGCCAAATTAACTTATGTTAAAGATATTCTCGTTATAAGTGTCGACTCAAGCAATGTTGTTCTATAGATGTTGTTTAAGAGCCCATTGATGCAATGCAGGAAAAGATTGTCAATGCAACTCACAATCTTGCAATCAATAAAGAAGGTAAGCTCAAATTTACTCTCCGTAATTTCAAAAGCTATTCTTCTAATTTATGTTTGTCATTCCATATATGCGGAGACATTAGCTAGTGAGTTTTCCATGCCTTGACCATGCCTTGATGCATTTCTCACATAACCTCCAAAACAGTGATTCAATTATCACTCGGAGAATCGTTTTTTGAGTGTCGTACATAGATACTCAATGACTTTTTGATGCTGAAATTTGGAATGTAGATATCTTTGTAGCGCTGTCACATACATGATGGAATAGATAAGGTTCATTTTTTGTCCCTAAACATCAAATCTTCGTTTTTGTCAGCAACTGATCAGTCACTCCACCGATGTAGTTCTGAGACGGCTGTAAATATTCATGATGAAATGGAGCTGTGATTGTAGATAGTTTTGTAACTGCTACTTTAGCTTTCAGCATATTTCAATGCGTACCTTTCGATATTTTCTTGTCTTCATACCAATAGCTTCAATCAAGCTCTGTACTAATCATTCGAAGAGCTCTGCAATGCAGTGTGTAAGACTCATTTGAGAGTTTAGAGCTTGCGAGTCATACACAGTTTTTCTTTTCTCCTTAAGCGCATAAAAGCCTTCTCCGCATTTCAGCAATCAATATCATCGTAGTTTCTTGTTGCCAATGGAGTTCCAGTGAAATATTGGGTCAAGGAATTACTTCCCTCCCTCCTCCCCCACTTTTTTATGGCATCAAAAATTTCACATCAAAAGTTCTGTTAGCCTTAACACTGTAATGTCTGTTTTAGAAGGAAAGTCGTTGGAGAAGCGCAATTTGGCAGTCGAAGAAGACGTGCAGCGAAAGCAAGAAGTAGTCGATGATTTAAAGGAAAGAGAAAGCCTAACTAAAGCGATCATCGTAGACAATAATGAGAGCATGGAACTCATAAAGTCTGGTGAGTTTTTCATGTAAAACATAAGGATGAAAATGCATAATGTATAAGTAGCTTTTTTTCCTGAAGACCATTTGCTATTGGTAAAAGTGGAGTCACTATTATTGGGTTGTCCCAAATTAAACTCTTTTTTGAATAATTCGAGCTGTTTTTGTTTTTCTAAAAGATACGGGGTTCAATCGATAGAACAAATCGAGCTCTACAAAAAATGACCACCAGGATCGGCTTCAGTCGCTTTCCATGTAAAGTTTAAAGCTAAAATCGGAAAAAATTTTGTTACCTGAAAATTGAATTTTTGCAGAGGCTTTCTGCGAACCTTCACCTGGGTCATTGTACAGTAGGCACATAGTATTATAGTACTCAAATAGCCTTTAATTTTCTCCGGGCATGAAAAGCGAGAAAAAAGATAGTCCAAAAATGAAACTCCGCCTCCAGCTCCTCCCGCATATGTCATTATATACTACAAGCCTTAATATAGTCTTAAAACTTCACTCCCAGTATGTGCTCCTCTAACCGATAAATACAAAGTTTTACATGAAAAACCCAAAAAAATGTCATTTTCGGACTATCTTTTTTGTCATTTCAAGCTCCAAAAATCCACCAAATACATTTATGGGTACAGGTATGTGTCTAATACAGAAAGGCCAAATTGGAAGTCCGATGCAATTTTCTAGAAGGAAATCCGCATTTCAGGGTAGCTGGAAATTTTGATTTTTGGCTCCAGATTTTACCTGGATTACGTCTAAGGTGTATCTTTAAAGGTCTTCTTGTAAGCTTGCTCCACTCTACTGATTGGTATCCTAAGTCTGTTAGGAAAACAAAAGCAGCTTGTTTTTCGAAAATGGAGTTTAGTTTTAGTACAACCTGATAGAAAGCGAGCTTTTTAAGTTTTTCATACTAGTAGAAATTCAATTTTCTAGCGCGTTTTTTAAACATCCACTGTGTTGGTCAATGAAATATCAAAAAAGCTAATCAAAATGATATTGAGATTTTTTGAATGTAACTTGAGAAGTTTCACCATTTTCTCAACTATGCTTCCGTGTTGTGTTCCATGCAATCTCAAGCAGATGTCACGGTTGAAGCGTGATTATTCACCCCGAGATTGGTAGATTTCAGGATCCAATGTAATCCGAAGGATTGAGAAACGATGTCCGTGTCCTAATCCCGGCTGATTTTTCCACTTAATATCCAATCTGATTGCAAGTGCTTATTCGGCTTATTTGTCGTCCACTGCCTAATCTATTTCTTTCGAGTATCCACCATATTGCTACTGTGTATCCTTAGATCTCTGTGAATGCCTAGTATTATCTTGTTCTGATAAAGATACATGAGAGATGTTTAGAGCTTTGCACATTCATTCATTGAAATCACTTCATCATCAAGCGGCGGATGGCAAGTATTTCAAAGTTTCTAGCGTTTGCGCTTATCAAAGAGAGACTCTGTGGATCCTTTCTTTACTGAAATGGGATATATGTATTTCTAGCATAATGGATCGCAACCCAATCCCGTACTTCCTGAAGGACTTAGCTATAGTTATAGCCATCAAATATGCGTGAAAGACGCACAGCTCATTCGTCTTTGGATTTGACGGCAGTTGAATAAAAGCAGTTCGGATACATACATCTAGTCTTCTCACTATCTTGAATTTCTTCTTTTTTGTACATCGTAGTACATGTTCTATAGTAAGCCTTGCAAGAGAAGGCACCTTAATCCAAATGGTATTTAGAAAGACAACTGATTGAAATCAGCCTGCAACTGATCCCATTTGCTTTCCTACCTGAGACGGTTAATTTAAGCGGGTTATGATTTTTTTTTGAAATTGGCATATTAATCAACATGAGAGGACTGCCTGTTGATTCTGCCCGAAAGAGATACTTGGATATCAAAATAATAGAGAATATTGAGAAACAATCATATCGAACTTGATATGCTCCATCTTTCATGGGGTAACCTAGATATCCGAATTTTGTGACTTCTGACATTTTCTTAGTGGGATAGAAGTAATATAGTATAAAATTGCTTGCAGTGTACAATACCTCTAAGATAACTTGCAAAATTTCCGTGAAATGTCGCGAAATTCCAGCAATGCCGCGGATTTTCGCGAAACTTCTGGAATTCCGCAAAATTCCGGGAGCGCCGCAACGTGCGGATTTCGCAAAACCGGCGATGCCCTGGACTCTTCCAAGGAAATTTTGCACGTTAGGTGAGAGTTATTGTATACATAAGCTCAGAACATAAACTGAACGCCGACACTGCGTATTCTCTTCCGATAGAAGAGATTCAATATTGTTGACGTCGAGTCTGTGCAGGGAAGCATGTTCATTTGCAGTGGCCTTTTAAGATGGGATGTATAGCATATTGGAGGACATAAAACGCTGATTCCAAATCTGCCTTCTTCATCTGCGGAGCTTTCAGGAACTAGGAGTTATGAACGTTTGTTGGAGCAGAAAATTTAATGTATAAGTAGGACAAAAACACTTGTAATATTTTTTCTAGTGCTTCAATGGAGCATTGATAATGATAAGCGCACTTTATTCAGTGAAATTTTGAAATTGAAAAAAAAACTTTACCAAAATTAAAAAAAACTTTACCACAGTTGGTTGCTTTATTTGAGGGCCAGTAAGATTTTAGCAACTACTTTGATTTTGCTCCATTAGGCCCCGGGCAGACTTCACGCGATTTGATCGTCGCGACTGAATCGCGACGAGACAACTGTTACAACATCATTCCCTGCTGATCAATTTGTATTCGGTTGTGATCTTTTCCAGCCCGAAATTTTTGAATGTGAAATGAAAATAAATGGAAATCTTGGCGATTAGATCGCGACGATTAAGTCGCGTGAAGTCTGACCGGGGCCTTAAAAGCTCAAAACTCCTCGTCCACAAACCCTTTATGTGGAGCGCCATTTGACAGTCCCTACAAATGATAGATTACAATCAAATTATGTCGTGCTCTTTTCAAGGCACATGCCTTGACATTGCTTTTAAATTCTCCTTTGTACAGACAACACATAAAGAAGAGCGAAAGGATGTGCCCCACCTTCTAACTAACGGAGAAGTTATTGATGTCTATACAGTCGGCCGTCTCATTAGTATAGGAGGATTTGGACAGGTATAGCTTCACTATACTTCCATTCACGTAATGCTCAGTTTTCATAGAAGTGTGGGTTGTACCTTATCACATTTCAAATTATAGTAACGCTTACAAATATTCATACAACACGTTGAGCAGGAAATTTTGAGGGATATAATAGTCTGCAAAATTTTTTTTAGCGGGTTTTAGCATCACTGATTATGAAAGAATTTCTTACGGGAAGAATTATAGCCTCTAAGGGACCCGTCATAACCCTAAAAAGCCCGAAAAAGCCCAAAAAAGCCCGGAGAAGCCCAAAAAGCCCGAAAGAGAGAAACGCAGAAACGAACTTTTGGTAGAATTTTGACATTATTTTGATGTGCAAACGACAGAAAATGAAGCAAAAAAAAAACTCGGTTGCGAAATTAGCACACATGCCTTGACGTCAAAACGGAAGGAGCGTTTCGGCTCTTTCGGGCTTTTTTTGGGGTTTTTTCGGGCTTCTTTGGGCTTTTTGGACTTTTTCGGGCTTTTTCGGCTAACAAGGGAATGGTCAGAAGTCGAAGTGGCCAATCCATACAAGCTACATACCATTAGATTCAGCATAGAACGCTGACTCTAATTGTGTCTTCCTTATCTGCAGAGCGCTTTTGTGCACGAAATTATAAGCCGTTAAAGGCCATTATTTTGCTAAGAATTTGTGCGTGTAAAGTGCAAACTTGGCCGTACAAAGCCATTCTCGGCTCAATGTTGGACCAGAACATGCAACTAGGTCACTTCATATGACCCGTACCTAGAGACGAGCTGAAAGAGCAATAATGTGCCTAATCTCGCGATTTTTGTCTACGGTTTTTTCGCAGTAAAGCTGCTCAGAACTTCGCCTACAAAGGCGCTCTGCAGATATGGAAGACAGATTCGAAATCAGCATTTTATGCTGCATCGAATGGTATGAAGTTTGTATGGACTGGCCACTTCAACTTCTGACCATTCACTTGTAAGTATAACGGTTCCATAAAGATTTTTGCTGTACACAGCGCTGTACATTTGAAAGCTTCACAGAGAAAAACTTTTTTCCCATTCTCATCTTGCAATTCCGAGAAGGCTTTGTAAAAAGTGCTGTACTCTTGGCAAATACAGTTTGTCTGTGTCAGTCACATGCTCCTTTTCCATAAGCCCAATCGCCACGCCAGAACTTCATCCACGCCCGCGCGCGTATGGCCTGGACATTCAAACTAGCCTCATCAATTGGAGGTGCGCACGCAAGGCTTTCGCGTTGCACATGCGTAGTTCTCACACGAAAGGGAGTACGTGATTGACACAAACTATACTTTGTGCAGAACACTTGAAAGTAAGAGATTCAATAATTTAGTATCCCCTCTATTTCTCCAGTCATCATAAGTTAGACATCCAAAATACCACTAACCCAGCTTTACTGCTGTTCACTCCTACATTAGGTTTGAGCAGATGGAAAGTAAATTGCATAATTTTCATTCTATAATTTCTATCTTGCTTGATTACCATCAACTGGTAAAGTTCTTATCATGATGCTTCCAAATTAGCCAAAGTACACTAGGAGATTTTCCCTTTTTCCAACAGCTCGTTCTCGGAATCGTAACCTCCGATAAGTCCACCGAAAATTCGCCTGATCGGGCTCAACACATGAAAATCCCGTCTGAATGCGATTGCGTTACTGCTTTGAAACCAGTAGCCATAGTTAAGCATTGATGTCTCCATATCTCGAGAGAAGCTAATTAGATATTTTATTTTATTTTATTTTAGTTTACACTCACGGTGCACCAAAGAACAAAAAATAAAACTCTAACACGTCGAACAATAACATGATATCAGCTTGTCCATGTCTTCAGAGAGATACACGGTGGACGTATAAGCAATGCACTAACCTAAGGCCCACTAAGATATAGCGAAAACTGTTCCAAATGCCTGATGAGTGTAATGGCTTGAGAAACAAAGAATGAACAAAGAATGACTACTCTTTAGAATTTTTTCAAAATTCTAAAGAGTAATCAAAGAATTTTTGTACAACCAATTGTATGGTGTAAGATCTACTTCGTTTCTGCAATTTCGAAATGCATTAGCAGAACCTGAAAAGTATTTAGTAAGAGTCGAATTCTGTTTTTGTCCTTTGTAAATAATCGCAAAAAATCAGGTTTAATCCAAAAAATCATCTCATGCTTAGAAAGTGAAGGCGTTGAACGCCGAAACGTTGACGTCAGCCAATAAACTATTGTTACTAATCTTGGTGTAGCTCGAAAACTAAGTTTGCAAATTGAACTAGCATAAAGTTTAGAAGAATGAAGTACATTTATGTCTTCCCCTTTCTAAATGAGCAGAATTTCTGCTCATCGAGCTATTTGAAAAGTAAAGTGAAAGGCACCGTCCACCCAAAATGTGGTCGATGAGATTTCGATGCCTAACAGTAGTGCCCCCCCCCCCCGCCCCAGCTGTATACTTGACTCGTAGTGCAGGTCCTCCAAAACGGGGGTTGTGGAGATTTTCGCGGATTCTTGACTTGGTTTCGGAATCAGAGATATGAGAGGGCCCCGGAACGACAAAAATGGAAGCCGAGAATCTGAGTGGACGGTGCCTTTGAGTAAAATGATTTTAAAAAATCATACTTTTCTTGAAGAAAACTAACACAAGCTTTGCTCAGTTAGAATGAGTAGGTAAAGCATGCTACGCATAGTTTTGGAACTAAAGCGGTTGCCATTAAAAAGTATTGATTTCCTCTTCGAATACCAGTTGAACTGAATCTATTGAGGTAGAAAAAAGCTGAGATTTCTCAAGGGTGCGACAGAACTTTCAAACCAACCTCATAGGATTGTTAATCTACTTGTTAATTTTTCTGCGACTGACGATGAGTTACTGGGGTTTCCTTTCAAATTCGCTACGTATCAGTAATTAATCCAATTCTCCAAAACTTTCCATTTGTGAACCTCCTTTTATAACAAGTTAATATTGCTTTCCGGGAAACCAGTTTGAAAAGAGACTGTTCTATAATCTACACATATCTAGGTTTATACTTGTTTCCATCAACTGACACATGAACGCGTTGCTATAAAAGTTGAAGCGATGGCGGCTAAGGTACGTTTAGTTTGGAATAGCTCGAACTAGTTTAAAAAGTTAATTTTGAAGATGCCTTTGTTGCGAAACGAGGCGGTTTGTCTACATTATCTTAATGGCATACACAACCCACACGGTGATGAACCACGAGAGCCTATACTTCGTTTTATTAGTTACGGACTTACAGATAAACTCAAGTATCTGGTAAGTGTGGGAACAGTGCAGATTCATAGTCTTATACCTTTTTTTTAGATTATGGACCATTGCGGTGCAAATTTGCGAGATTTGAAGCAAGCCACTCCCAAGGGGCAGTTTAGGTACGAGCTTGATTTGGATGCTGATCAAGTCTGAAATATTGGGATGGAGGGTAATTCTACTACACCTTTACATTTCTTAGAAGGAAAACATCTAAAGAAAAGCCTTTTGATTTTAAAAATTCTTGAGCTTTCCGTGTCAATCTTGATACGATGCATATAACAAAAGGAAATTTCTCTGTTTTGGAATTTTTGATGTTTTTTTTGGAATCAGAGGCGTCAGATTGGCATTATAGATTGTGCTTTTTGTCGAGAAAAGGATTGCCCGAAAAGGCGACTAGAAAATGGTCTTTGTCTTCACAGAGCTCAAATTTTCAATATCGATGTTCTTCAATAGGAAGGCTTTTTTTAAATAGATAAAGATGCAACGTGGACATACATAGACGCACACGCACACACGGCCCCATCCTATATCTGAAAACATTTTGCACTGACTGTTATTCTAAAATTACTCGAATTAGTAACTTTTGTCGCAGGGTTCTGCTGATCTTATGTAAAACTTCTCACAATCAATAAGGCTTAGAATGTAATACATATCAATTAAGAAATGATTAAGAAAATCCTCACCTACGTTTTGCTAAAATAAGCGGGTTGGACTGCTGAATACCGCCCTCCCTCCTGCCGTAAATAAAAACCAAACTTGGCTGCAGTTTTTTGCGTCAGAACCGATTTGCATGACTGTCATTTCAGCATCGCTACATCATTATGGATAATGGAACGAATGGTGTCTGCTTTGCAGTTTATGCATTCTCATGGTTTTTTGCACAGGTAATATTTAATAGAGCACACACAAATATTGTATTTTTCCTATTCCTTCAACTTCTTGAGCGTCATAAGTATGTTGGTAAAATTACGAAACACACTTTGCTTTTTCGACTCTGTACGGTCTTATCAATGTTTTCTGAACACAAAACAGTGTACATAGTCACACCTGCACTTGAACCATCAAAGGCCAGACTGCTGTTTTTCTCTCAATGCTTACGTGCAACTCCAATCGAATTATAAACGAAGGGAGTATTCGAAGTGAAAAAATTCGATTTGCAAAGTAATACAGAAAATATCCACAAATATAGTGTGAAGCAGATTAATATGTCATTTCGCTTTGAGTTATTGTAAGAAAGTGTAAAGAGCCTCGGTAGGCCCTTTACAAATGCACGGGCTAAGAAACTCGTCCACCACCACGTGCCGCAACCGCTCGCGCCCTAGCGTCGTATTACTGTAGCGCACTGTAGGTTCATGGAGGCCGTTTCCCAACCCTCGGGGTTTGTACTTCAGCGCTTTTATTGTCTCTCAATTTTTCTTCAAACAACAATGTAGACTTTCTCCATCAGAACGTAGAGCTTTAACCATGGTGTTTTGTGATATCTTGCATTTTTTATAGAGATGTCAAGCCAGCTAACTTCTGCATAGGAGACAATGAAACACATAAATTATATTTGATTGACTTTGGAATGTGCAGGCAAGTTATTTTCCTGCTTCTAAAAAAGCGATTGATTACATTTTTGTCCAGATGTTTTATCAACACGGATGGTTCTTACAAGAAACGAAAACCTTCGAGCCCATTCCATGGCACTGTTCGATATGCTTCAGTTAACACACACAACAAAAAGGTTGGCGTTTATTACTATTTGACATTTACCCCTTTTATTTCACTTCATATCTAGGATCTTTGTCGATGGGATGACCTTTGGTCTGTGTACTACATCACCATTGAAAATATGGTAGGAGCATTACCATGGAGATATGTTACCGACAGATGCAAGGTCGCTGAGATGAAGATCAAGTTCAAGTTCAATACGTTACAATACGGAGATGTAAGAACTCTCTATTAGTTCGAAAATCAACTACGCATAATTCTGAGAATTTTTTGGAGTACCTTAGCGATTCCTTCTTGATTAAAAAGTTGTATTTACTTGTAAAATAAGCTAAAAAGACTGTACCTCTAAAGTAGTACAATTGAATGCTTTGTATGCTTGATACTAGTTTATCACGTAACCATCAACTTGGGACAGATTTTATCGAGATAGAGAAATCAGCCAACTATTAGGTTGGCTAATAAATAAGTTCGGTCGCTTTTGCGGCTCTCACAAATGCTGCAGACAAATTTGTGTTCAGCATTTGGTATCTCTGCAAAGAGCACTTCAATGGGAACTGGATTATGAATTTCGTTTGAGTAGAACTCATAAGTAGAACAGTAGAAAAACGAAGTTTATGAAGTTAAAGGAGTGAGATTTTAGAAATTTAGCAATGTTGAGACATAACTGTCTTTACTGATAATAGAAAATTATTTGTTATGTGATATAGGAAGCTCTAAGCTACTTTCCCAAAAAAATCCTGGATAGAAAACAAAAAAATTTTTTCATGAAGAGTTGCATGCCAAAACGAACTTATTTTTTCGCCAACCGAAAATTTTGGATGAGCTAGCTTTGATTTCTGGATATCTTCCAAAAACATGAGTCTCTCTGAGATGAACGACTTACAATTGAAAGATAACTTCGGAAACCTCTTCTTACATTGTGTCTTCTACCAAATAAATCCTGGTAAAATAAGAAGTACAGCTTGAGAAAATTAGCTGTACCCTAGATTGGAAAGGATATACAACAGAAACGGATAAGATGGAGAGAAAAGCCATGTACCTAAAGACTTTAACAACATTTCCTATCGCACCTATTTGAGGAATGGTTCGTTTGAAGAAAGAGGAGAGGAGGGGGAAAGGGACGCGATATTTTCCAAAACTGCGTAGCGAGATATTTGAGAGGGTTTAAATGAGCTGCGAAACTGCGCGAGCAACATAATTTTGTGTGCAGTCGAAAAGCTTTTGGAATTTGAATAGATTGATTGACCTCCATTTATACTCTCCCAAAAATGGGAACGCCACAGCAAGCATCGGAGCTCTTATTAATGTTTGCCAGAAAGTGAAAAAGGATAAAGTACTTACAGTATCATAATTCCAATGGGATGGGAGAATACTGGGGCAAACTCTTACTTTTGATTTTGCTTCAAAATCCTGCGCTTTTTCATACCGTTTTCCAGGAACCATGTATGCCTCAGCCACTAAGGATTCTAGCTTACCATTTACTGGAATCTCGCCAAAATCAAGACGCAAGTTTCTATACCGCTCCTCCTTATGGGCATATCATTCGCGAAGTGGTAATCCTTATTTTCAATACAATCATTCGGCATATGGTTGTAATTTAGGAGTACGATTTGGACTTAAGGCACTTTTACAAGAATTCCCCGCTTGATTGGGAAACGCGACAGGAGTCGGTAAGCACTGATGCATGATGTGTTACTCCTATTTTGCATAGTCGTAAGTTTAGGTGATTGGAGAATGTTTCGAAGAATGCGAAGCATTACGCACTAGTTTACCTGTTGAACAGCCGCTCTATGACTGTAATGGAGAGCAGTCGGTCTATTGCTTTTGATAGTTCCTTTGTTTCTTATTTGCAGTATTTATTGCAAATTATAATAGTCACATAAGATGTCTGTCGGCATGCAAGTTTCTCAGAATTCTTTCTTGAATTGCTCATGTTATGCATTGTTGTTCTTTGATTTCCCATTGCCTTAATCGACTTCTAATTATAGCCTCACACTGAAGGTATACGAACATTAAAGCTGTTGAAGTTTTGAGTGTTTGAGAACAATTCAGTATATCAAGTCTACCAAAATGATTAAATAGTGATAGTGATGAAAAATTGTCAAAAATGAAATATGTTTTTCTATCCCCTACCTCTGGGCCGGAACCAGAGATGCGATGGGGAGAGCCTGGTCCTCCAAAAGTGAAGGTGGTAATGCAGGATACTCATTGACCAGAACCGTCGGGGGGGGGGGGAGGGGTGGGAGAGAGGGGGAGGGAGAAGCGTCTAACGTCGAAGGGGCTTATGCTGACGCCTACCTTTTCGGGTCACTCCCTTCTACCAACTCAAGAGTGTTTCGCACGGAACACCCTTGAGCTGATACAAGGTACAGTCGAGTAGATTTTTCGCTTAATATGGTGTGCTTGCACAGTTTATGAAATGCGGTAAAATTTGCGCGTGAACAGGTAGCTGCGGCACTGCCGGCAATTTGCGCGCGCAGTTGGCCGGCGTCACAGTCGAAGCTAATTCCTTACGCGCAAATTTTACCGCATTTCAACTTCTGTGCAAGCACACTATATTGAGCGGAAAATCTACTCTACTGTAAGGCCTTCTTCACTTCTAAACCTGGAAATGTTTTTTGCTGACCGAGAAAGAGGAAAATAAGCAAAACAGATGCGAAAGCAATTAATGAAAGCATATTTTCACGCAACTTACTTTCGAGAATGGCCGTCATCTATTGCGAGCACAAGAAGGCCATCACCGTCAAAGAACGTTTTTAGCCCTAACGCTCCCTACGTTCTTAGAGAACGAAGCTTCTTGTTGACTTTCGATGATTCCATTCCAAGCTTCAACCCAACCTCTTCTTCAACGCGGCGGCCTTTTTTGGGGCCACAAATACTATGGACAACGATCGCATAACTATTTTTTCAGTGAACGCGTTTAGTAAATGTTGTGTATGGAAGTAAAACTGAACTGTACTAAGCAATTTTTTACTTATGCAGCGAAGAAAGTAGGTCGATTTATGAAGTAATAATTTCGAATGATAAAACTGCAAAAAATCACGTGAAATTGCAATTTTCATAAGTCTGGTGTATGAAAATGTCAGCAATGCGACTTCATAGACTTTGAATGGTAAACGTTGCTCTAATGATTAATGAAAGCAGGTCTAAGACTTCATCGCCGAAAACCAGAGTTTTGATGAAATCGCCATCTGAGATTGCTTGTATGCATCTGTTTTCAACTCTTACAAATCATGTGTGCGAAAGTGTGTGGTATCGCGAGTTTATAGTTTTTGTGAAGTAAGGTTTGCATCCTTTCGCTTTGGTCGTGCCGAATTGAAACATTACCAAGAGGCAGCCTTGAAAGAGCAGGCAAAGAATCAGTTTCCAAGCTTTAACAGCTCGTAACTTCTTCAGTGACCGTATTCATCATTGCTATCTTGAGGTTAATTTACTTCTAGGTAGGATTACCACTCAAAACCCGTATTCATCAATGTACTTCGACGCAAATGCTTAAGGTTAAATCAACCTTGAAAATGGTTTCATGTGGAATGAAAATTTGTCCGACCCTTACTGATACCTGTACTTCGTTGATCCTTAGCTTCTGTTTGATCTAGATGTTACTCTAGGCTGCAAACATTGAGCTGCGATTATTTTCCATCAAGGTAGAAAAGTTATTACTTTTTTGGTCACTTAATTCTTACTTTCCGTCAGGCCATCTTAGTTTTGGGATAAATTTTCGGCTTCAGTAAGCATAGCGAATTACTAAGACTTCCAAACTTTCTTGATAATCTGTCAGTAATAAAAAGCTTTTGACCAAACAAGCAAAGACATTTTTGCATTCAAGTCTATGTCAACGATAACCTCGCTTATTAGTTTCAAATCTCCTATTTTCGCTTTTGACTTACATCTATGCCATAATTGAGCTGACTAAAGAGTGAAAGCAATCAAGTTTCTCAGAACTTTTCAGATTTACAAATAAACCATAGATTCAGTTGAATGAGTTCGCTGAAATGGTTAGTTGATTTTCGTTAGGTGACAACTGCAGTTTTCACAAAATTTTCACGCTCAACACAGAAATGTTTCATAGATGCAGACGTCAAGTCTGCAGTAGTCGACAACATCAGTATGTATGACATATCAATTCATCTTCCTGAAGTGTAAAAGCTTTTATTCTTATAACAAAAAAGTGCTGAATGAACATTGCGCTTACAGCAGCAAGATATGCTTTTCTACGATAACTCTACAGACGTGATTATCAAATTTTACGTTTTACAACACAAATTCAACTCATTTTGGAAGAAAATTATTTGACATAAACGGCATGAATCTTTGCACCTCCTGAGATTTCGAACCAAGATGCAATCAGCTGTTCACGCTGGGAGAATTCTTGGTAGAGACTGCCGTCGACGTAGATCTACAATACTTTGAGCGATTGCAAATCTTGTAGTTGTGCAAATCTTCTAATTATTCAAAACTCGAATATAAAATTTCTCACGAGAACTTTTCTATTGCCATTGTCAATGCTAGCAACGAAATCGACAGTGGAAAGCTGGTTTATTTCGAAAGGTCCATTTGGTGTAGGTCCATATGGTCCCTCTATTTCAACCTCCTCTTCCCATCTGCCATTGCGATAAGAGTTGATTACGACTTTCCACTAAAGTTATAAAATGTGTTAGTCCTCAAAGAATTGCTTGCAGCATGAAAAGTATTACACTATTTTCAGGTGTATAAGCCGCACTTTTTCAAATTTTCAAACGAGCTGTTCAGCCGCTTCATTGTGTTTCGAGAAGCGATCCTTATGCCGCACGTTTCTTTCAAGCAATGCGCAGCACGGCATAGGGTTCTTTGGTTGCGAGATCCTTTGATGTGTTCGGGCTGGTCGATGTAAGCTGGGACCAGGGTCAAGCAAGGGGTGTGGTAGACGATCGCTGGTTACGACCCCCCCCCCCCCTGATTGCTGTCTTAATAAGACTCCCCCTGAATTATATACCTAAGATAGCATTACCTGAAGGCTCTGTCAAACATAATGGGCAACGTATCCATAATGAGCATGTCAGTTAACTCCTGTAGACAAAGTTTGAGCGAATTCTGAAGATCCATGACACTCCAAGACACTTTTTAGATGTAGTTAATGGGGTGCGGCACCCCATTAACTATATCAAAAAAACATTTTTAGCGGACAGTATTTATATGAATCGATAGCCTAAACCTTGTAGATTCCATAGGACTGTTTTGAGCCTGATTCGTTTTCTTAGCTCTAAATAATATTTGGTGAAAGCAAAGCCATCAAAAGCGAAAAATGGGAAAAATGAGATTTTGGTTGGCATCTAATTCCACAGTTTGGAGGTCTTTTGAGCGGGATTTCTGAGATGGACGAAGAAGTAGTGCTTTGTCTTGAGTGCAAAAACGGGTAGCTAATTCACCTTTGAAACAAAGTTCATCATCTTCGAATATGACCATTTCACTTAGGTAGCCTAGTGTCTTGGATCTTCAGAATTCGCTCAAACTTTGTTACAGGGGTTAATTGACATGCTTATTATGGATATGATAAGAATATCATGTTATCACTATTATCAGATTACCCAACTACGACCCCCTCCCCTTTTGACTCCTCAATACGACCCCCAGTATGGCGCGCCACACCTCACGCTTGACCCTGGCTAGGACCCGCCCCGCGGCTTATATACCTGAAAATAGGGTACCTGTCGTTCAATAGTGACCCAAAAAATTTAGCTTATTCTAGATTGAACATCTTTTTCAAATTTGAGCATGAGTACTAGACAACAAGGCCCGGCACGAGGTGGGTAAATGACAGACTGGTCGCTTTAGGTGAAAGAAGCAAAGGATATATCATTTTTGCGGAGTCCGGGGTGAAGAGCCGGAGAAAAAATGCTAAAAAATGGAATACAAATCTGGACTCTTTTCCCAGATTGGGCTATCGCGCTCGTCAAATCGCGCGTCGCTGACTGCCGCAGGAGCGAGTTGTTCAACCCATGCAAACTGGAACAGCATGACTACTTCTCAATGCGTAACGATATGGCACCATGCGTAGATAAACGAACGTAGGCTAACGGAGACAAAGACGAAAAATTATGAAAAACTTTTGTGATTGGAGGGTGTACTAAACCTTTTTCCAAAATTTCTCATAACTGGTCAATGAAGATGAATTTGGCTCGCTTACAATTTTTCATTGAAACTTCTCAATTTAGCCCTATAGGTCCGTGTGCATGCACCAAAGTTTCATACCATATCGTAATCTGTGCATTGCAAATGAGTCATTTGAATTCACATCTTCGCTCACCAGTTACGGAAAAATTGAAAAAAAAAACGCTTATTTCACCTTTTATTCACGTAAGTTTTTCATAATTTTTCATGCTTTGTTCACACTAGCCTCTCTTCGTTCGCTTACGAAATTTCGTGCCATTTCGTTACGCTTACATTGTGAACTAGTCGTGTATGCGGTCACAAATAGCATCGGCAGCGACGTCACGCGTGCGGCAATTAGCGATGGCGCAATTTAACGCGCGCAAACTCCAGTGTTCGCCTGTTGAGGCACTTTAACATGTTTAGATAAGCAAAAAGCATGAACTGCCACTTTTTTCCGGGCCTTCGCCCCGGACCCGCAAAAACGATTTCCCCACAGCTTTTCTCTTGACAACAAATCAGCTTTTCTCCGACAGCGAATTGCTTGCCATTTGCCAACCTCGTGCCGGGCTCTGTACACGATGTGAGAAAATCGCTTACAAAATACTTTCAGGAAGCATGTGGAAACGCTATGAAAAGCAATAGATTGACTTCAAATACGATTAAATGATCAGGTCTTTGTCTTCGCAATGAATGACGATGTAACAAAACTAATGTACTCATATAATTGTACAAATCTTATTACAGTGGCCGTATTCATCATTGATACCTTCAGGTAAATTCTAGTAGTTTTATCACTCACTATCAGGAATTACCCGTATTCACAAAGGTGTCTTGAGGTAAATTCTCAGAATTTTGTTGATAATGAATGTTAAAACTACCTGGAGGTAGAATTTACCTCAAGGTATCAATGATGAATACGGTTACAGAACAATCAAACTTCTCATGAGACCTACTTCTGACAGTCAAAAGATCATTGTTGGTTATATTTCTTACACTGGTACCTGATTTATCACACTGATACTTGATAGTTTTTCGTAATCGACTTCCTACCAACTGAAGAGTGTGTTTAAACGCTTAGAACCGCTACAAAAGTCAAAGAAGTTGGTCAAGTTTAACTTTTTCGTTCTTCTATCTACAAAAGCTGTACAAGATGACTGTTGAGGTTTAGATGCTGAATCCAGCAGTTTGACTACAATTACATGGACTTCCATTTAGCTGATAGACAACAATTTTGCAAGTCAGAGTACAAGTAGCCGAGTTTGTTGTGCCAAACATTCGTGGTGTGAAATGTGATTCTCTACTTATTGTCTTTTTAGCATAAGAGAGAGATGCATGATAGTTGTAGCGAGAGTAGTGAAGATACGAGACAATATGCAGTGAAGATACGAGACAAAGCTAAGGCTGGATAAGAAAGGAATACATTAACAGAAATGCTTTGTAATAATGGCATAGTATAAAACAAGAGAGAGCAATTGCAGCCTAGGAAGACAACTAAAGAAAGTAATGCGCGAGTAACATTGTAATATTAAAAGCGAAGAGGCACAATCCAAAAGTGACGCAAGTTTAAACATCTAATCTCGTTTGCATGTACATCTAACTATTCTACTGCGATCAACAGGGTTTCGAGGGGTCAACGATATGGCTTCCATTTGCCAGCCACAACATAGCGTTACGAATTAAGGCCGCTTTCACATAGCATTTATGCGGCCCGCTCACAAAATTCCTGCATTCGCATTCCCACCGTTTCCCGATCTCTGCCAAAATAACGAATCGCTGCCTCGTCGCCGCCTTCTGGCTGCTTTTATAATGAATGCGCTCTGCAGCTATTTTCTGACTTATGGAAGTTTATAGTTGCCCGCTGATAGCCCGTCGCTGCCCGCTCACCGCCATTTTTGCAGTATCGTCGCCCGCTCACTGACACCGCACCGCTTTTTATCGCCGCCTCACCAAAGCCTTTGATTGTCTGAATGGCAACCATGACTGCGCAGGTATCAGGGTATATGAACCTTCACAACGTAGAGAAGAAAAAAGCAAGATAATCAGATTTGTGTGATTTTTTTTGTGTCGCATCCCGTTTCAGATCCCCCGTCCTTTCCGTTGGAATGTGCCTACATCCGAGCCTAACTCTTGCCATGGAGCTAACAATAGACAATGTTCGTTTATCTAGACTTTTATTTAGTTAAATTGTTAAAATAAGATTGGTAGGCCTAACAGTAATCAAGATCAATCAATCTACTTCACTTCGCTATCTGGGGCATTCCGAGGAATGATTGGAGCTTAAGAAAATCACCTGCTTGATATGTGTGCAAAGTAATTCTGAGAGCACGAACAATCAGATTTATTTGCAGTGGGGTTCCCATTTTACTGATACTCGAAAGAAGGCATGTGTGAGGCAGGTATTTCTAACATTCTCTAGGGTTCAATGTTCATCTTTCTCTTCTTTTACGTTCAGAATCAGCTTCAAAAGCTCTATTGAAAGGGATGTGTCTCTAGAAAAATAATTGTTTTCACCACCTTTATATTGTAGCTCATATGAAAACATGAAACTTTTCGAGGAAAAAATCACACTTACTCCCCAATCGACTTTGAAGTGCATGAGAATGGCTCCTTCTTCCATGGCTTTGTTGTCTCCTGGATGCAGATTGACCTTGAAATGGGACAATGTTGCAAATAGTAGACAAAAGTTGGATCTTTTTGGTGCTTATGGTAATTTTCGCTCCTAAATTAAGATCTATTAAGCTAACAATTTCCTCTTGGGTTTTAGAACTTTGCTTTGCAACGTCTCCGGGCTGTGCTTTAATGTGTTAGGTTGGCGCAGCTATGCTTTGATGTGTTAGGTTGGCGCGAAATAGTGTCTGCTTTTCTAGGCCTATATTCAAACAACTTTTTTTCCATCAAACTTTCTTTACGATGTAAATTTTGCATATCATTGAAAAGCTTCCTTCATTCATTTTCCAACAATAGTGCAATAAAGCTTCTGTCCTCATCTGTGAAAAACTCCACCAGCATTCTGCTCACCCGCACCCAACATCAAAATTTCATTGTTTTCACATTCTTGGAATTCAGGCAGATGAACGAATTTTTTTGAAGACATAGTTACTGTATGGAATGAACATTGTTTACTTAATGTATGATTAAGTAATTTCTTCGATAGTATCCGGACTGAGAAGTGGACGCCCTGAGTTACCCGCTGCTGACAATCTTTGAGCCAAAAATTTCTCATGATTAAGACAATCGCCAATACTTTGCTCGTTTCAGTATGTTTGAGATTAACACATCTTGTCTACACTTTTTGCAGAAAAACTTACCCATCAAAGTGCATGAAGAATTGATTATTAGTCGTAGGACGAAACTTAAAGAGGGTTGTATTCTCTTAAAAACGAATTTTTGAAGAAAAATTTCGGTTTTTTGAAGCGTGGTTTTGTTTCCGCAGTGAGCAGGTACGCGCTAAGTTACCAATGTCTACTACTTCTGATGGCGCATAAAGGATAAACAAAGTTTTAGCTTTTCAAAAAAATCACGAAACGAAACTATTAGGGTGATCCAAAAGTAGTGGTGCACCTAAAGAATAAATGCAGTCAAATAGCAAAGCTAATTGGAAGTCCAAGTTTTGGCAGAGTTAGTACATAACAAAACCTTCCAATCGAGGTCTATAGTTGAGCACTGTCACATGGCGTAATTTTTATAAGCGCTCAAAATTAAAGCTCATCACTTCAAGTAATTTTGAACTTTAAGCAACAGCGCCGCAGTAGAAAGAGCGAGCTCACTAAAGATATCTGCCCAGCAATGGGTGAGGGGACCGTCGCCAAATTCACGATAGTTCGGTGGTCCCAAGGCTTTAGAACAGAAGAAAGGGAGACGGCCCTTCTGAACCGCTAGCATCAGCAGCCTAATTACTGCGCTCCTCTGATTGGTCGGCGCTGCTGCGGCGCTTGGGTAGGCGAGAGCTATGCTGTCCTTAGAGACTCTGAATTGGACTGAAGTGGCATTCTCATGATATGAAGAATGAAGCAAGATTCCGAGTTTCCCATGAAACTCAAAAATGTTCCAGCTTACGTGCAGCTTTTATGGTGTTTTCAAAAGTGGGAAGGGCGAAGAAATCACGAAAGACCAGTAAAAAACATGCAGCTTTTCCAACTTTTTGTCTTCATATTTCAAACATCGTCACTACCATTATTCTTGTGCCTCGATTGCTTTGGAATGCTCAGAAATATTTGGAAACTGCGGACCAAACTTGGCACACATACACCTCGGGCCCCGGCGGGTGTCATAGGCTACTTTTCGTCATCGATCGATATCGATTTTATCGATTTTTATCGATTTTTTTGCAGAGTTCACCTACGGGGCTGGGAGTTGACACAGGGGGGTAGTCGAGCATGTGGATTCCGAATACAATATTGGTTTTCAGGATTATCAATTACTTTTATCGATTTTATCGATTTTTTGCAAAGTTTGAGCTACGGGGCTGGGAGTTTGCACAGGAGTGTAATCGAGCATGCTGATTACGAGTACAATATTAGTTTTTGAAATCGTTCATTACTTTTATCGATTTTATCGATTTTTTTGCAAAGTTTGAGCTACAGGGCTGGGAGTTGGCACAGGAGGGGGTAATTGGGCATGCTGATTTCGAAAACAACACATGGAAGGGGATATGAAGTGTAGAAGTGGGCACAGGGAAAGGCTGTACAGGGATACTGATGAGACCTTTATTACAGTGTTTTCACAAAGCCGGGCGGAGCCGGGTAAGCAAGCTAGTACACTATAAGAAAGGCGGGGTAATTGCCTGGGCAGAGTAATTAGCGCTAGGACGAAGCGGTTCAGAAGGGCATACACCCCAGGAGATATAGCATTGGGTATCAGGAGACATATTATTTATTCTTTCATAAGGTAATCAAATAAGCTCCTGACAGTTGCTTTCTGATAGTGCTTTTACGCTCTAACACATATGGAAATTACTTCGACTTTTCTCACTTTCAAAAAATTGTGGGCCAAAACATGAATTTCTGTGTGTAAATCTGCGCCAAGCATCGCACTTTTTCAAATAAAGTGCCTTTTTGTATAAAATAATGGGCAATTTTTGAGTATTCAAGTAATCATTAGAAAGAGCTCTAAAGCTCTTTTGAATAGTTTGCTATATGTCGAGGGACTTTCAGGAGCAGCAGCACAAATTCGGATGGCGTTCAAAAAAGTCTGTCTGACTTCTTTAAAGCTCCGCTCGAAGGAATGTCGGTGAGGTGCTGCAAGGTGCTGTCAAGATAACCTGCGAAGGTCACTTTATACAAAGGCATTCAAATTGCTGGTTGTTCATAGCTAATCAGAAAGAGATCTTGAATGATGTTTAAAAAATCAGGGTGGCCCATCACTTTTAGATCACCCTGATATTTTTGTACCAACTCTATATTATACAATCATTGTTTCTACTAGGTTGGTGCGAAAGTGATGCGCGTGCGAGTTCTCATTTTGACGTGCTATAATTTTCAAAAACCCATACTCTTGGTGCGTTAAAGACCATCACAAGCACTAAACCTTTTTTAATACGGCGCACACCCAACTATGCTCATATCACAAACGGGCATAAAAATATGGATGAGTAAAAAGTTTATTTTTTCTTCAAACTGTGTTTAACTGATCATAACTCCTTTCAGAATTTGTTAGTACAAATGCTAAGTAGCTTGTCTTATAGCTGCAAGCCAGTAGTACAAAATTGAAAGAAGCTCAAATGAAGAAGTTTTGCAAAAAGGAAAAGTTAATATGGTTGTCCCATAAGTCTTTTCATTTTTGAGTTTTTGCTGTGATAATTCATACACTTCTTATTCTAAATAGACATTAGAAACATTCGATAGAGCAAAGCAAACTCTATAAGATTGCGTTTATGTTTTCGCACCTGCTTCGATCCACCTCAACTGTGAAACCAAAATCTAAAGAGTTTCGGATGCCCAAAAAATTGAAAATTTTTTATATCTTCGTTCAGAAAAGTCCTACAGGTTTCTCACTCGCTCACGCATATACGCTTCACATCAGACACTCATATATTCTTTTGCTGTATTTTTTAGCTAGAAATCAGGAAGTCGAAAAGTTCCATTTTTCACTAAAGTGATGTTGTGCTGTTCTTACACTAAAGTTGTATACTACAAGTTCTTAGAAGTGCAACTGTAAATTTTTAGCTCTCTATAAGCTTTGGTTTCCGAGAAATGGTGAGTCAAGGAAGAAAAACTCAAATGAGGAAAGCCAAATTCGATATTTCTTAGGAACTACAGCTTATAGAGAGCTAAAAATTTGCGACTGTGCTTCTAAGGAGTCGTAGTATACAACTATTGGTGCAAAAACAGCACAGCATCACTTTGGTAAAAACATGGAAATTTTCGGTTCCCTGATTTCTAGCCAATGGAAGAACAGCAACATATATGAGTGTCTGATGTGGGGTGTATATGTGAGCGAGCGAGGGGATTGTAGGACTTTTCTGAATGAAGATAAAAAATATTAGGTGGGTGCAAAAGTTCGCTCGCCAGTTTTTCAAAAAATCATAACTTTCTTCCAACTCGATCAATTTCTTTGATTCTATACACATTTAGAAGAGAAAACCTTTACCTTAACGGCAGTATTTTTGCCATGAATTGGCATGAGAAAGTTCGAAACTTAAAAGCAATTGAAGAAAAAAAACTCAAGATTGGCATTTTTCAAGCAGGGTCACGAAAAATTCTGAAAGTATTTTTTTTATGATAGAGAAAATCATGCTCTTTGCTATAGTGCCTTTCCCATGAATTAAAACGAAAAGATTGAGAGTTAAAAGCAAATAAAGAAAATTCCTTTAGTTTTGCAATTTTTGAGCATACTCAAAAAGCCTAAAAACGTCACAGAAAGGATGGAAAAGTCAGGAACATGGGTTTTGTAGCCTTCTCTTTCTGACTGAGCAAAAACTGTGTCGAAAGAGAGCAATTTTGATTTTCGTGATTTTTCGGATTTTGTGCCGACTTGTCGGCACCTTCCTTACAATCATATCATTACTCCTGCCTGAGCACCGTAAAGGTCATGCCATAAGCATGACCTGCTGTGATATGAGTGTGTTTATTGCCCAGATGCATGCCAAGTTACTTTGCTCCGCCTGTTATGTTGAGCGTTCTACCACTGCACGAATGGGTGCATGTCGTCTGTTCAATAAAGCTCTAACAGCTTACGTGTCCTAATAACACATCAGGAGCCACCATACTCCACTACAGGCGCCATCCATTCGCCTAAGGCTACAATAAAGCCTACAGCCACCATATTTATGGTGCATCGGCCAAATACGTAAGACCGATCAGTGCTTCGCCTCAGCGACTGCACAAAGGTTAGCTATTCTAACCTTGGGACCTAGCGCCCAAAACACGCTGCTTCGCACCTAGCGACAGTCACTCTCCACCCCATTTAGGGACATAATTCCTAATCCTCGCTCAGAAAGTAGCGAAACGGCTCAAAAGCAGCCACATTTTTGTCAAAATAGCAATTTTTTACGTCAAAAATGTCTCTAAAATTTTTCAGAGAGGCGATTTCATTTCACTCAGTAAAATTAGCAAATTTATTCAAAGAATTTGAATCTTTCAAAGATGTTAAATTTAGTTTGCAGCACACAAAAGAGCTGCAAAAGAAATGCTTTGAAAATCTTGATAT